CCCCCGTGCCACCTGCTGGCCCAGAAAGCAAGAAATCACCCCCCAGAGGGGATGGCTACGCCACAATCCCTTCTCCTTCATTCTCCTATCGGGATTTTGTGCATGCATGCATATGCCCCTGGCGTAAGTTTAAGCCACCAGGTTCAAGACTTGAACCATGGTCGACTACATGGGAGTCCAGCAACACAGCCATTATGCCACTACTGGTCCCCTTATAATATTTGTTGATGAGGACGTGTTTAGTATTCTCAACTGGGCTTGACTGAGGTGTATATCATGCTGGGTAAAGTCTCTTCACAATCTGAATGATGTATAGTGATTTAATATATGAATAATGATAAAAAATAATAAAAAATGAATATGTAAAAAACATATTCTTAAAAAAATAAACAATACAGTGAGGAGACAACCTTCAGAGTGGGAGAATATATTTACAAACTGTACCTCAGATAAGGGACCACTAATCAGAATATACAGGGAACTCAAGCAGCTTACTGATAAAAAGTAATGAATCCAATTAAAAGACAGGAAAATGAGCTGAACAGACAACTCTGCTAGGAAGACATACAAATAGCCAAAAGACGTATGAAAATATATTCAATATCTTTTATTGTAAGAGAAATGCCAATCAAAACCACATTGAGACATCACTTAACCCCAGTCAGAATGGCTAAGAGTAAAAAAAAAAGAGTAAGTGCTATTGGGGCTGTGGTGAAAATGGAACTCTTCCTATACTGTTGGTGGGAATGTAAATTAGTACAACCACTGTGAAGAACAATATGGTGATTCCTTAGAAACCTACAAATAGAACTACCCTACAACCCAGTAATTCCATTCTTAGGTATTTACTCAAAGGATAGGAAAACCCTCAGTTGGAAGAATACTTGTACATCCATGTTATTGCAGCATGATTTACAATTGTTAGATCATAGAATCAACCCAAATGTTCAAACTAGACTAGTGGATTGAAAAATGTGACATATGTACTCTGTGGAATACTACTCAGTCATAAAATACAATGAGACCCTGACATTTGATACAAAGTGAATGAATAAGGTTACCATCATCAGTGATGTTTCATGTTAATATTATGACCCACCTGACAGGTTGTGGAGGATACTTCAGTTGTGTGTTTTCTTACTCAAAACACATAACCTTGTGAACCATCAGGAAAACATAAAACAAACCCAAATCAAGGGACATTTTACAAATCACACAAATGTTAATTATAAGAAAGAGATCTCCTAAATCACAAAGAATCATACGAAAAGAGTATAAAATTATATACATAATGATAAAGAGTTCACAAAATGGCTATGAATGGTCAAATTATTTTAAAGGAATTAAAAATAAAACAGGCTCTGGACTCCCATGTACCTGATTGTGGTCTGAGTCCTGGACTCAGCAGCTTGAAACTCACATTGGGTGCATGTGTATGCGTGCCCAGAATCATGAGCGGAGAATGAAGAAGAAGGGCTTGCAGCATGGCCATCCCCACCAGGGGAGTGATTTCTCACTTTCTGTCTCTCTGGTGAGTGCACATGTTCTAATAGCAAATATCTCTCAAAACACACATGCACACACACACACAAATTTACCTAAATTTATGAAAAGCTTGTGGGGATATAAGTATTTGGGAGCCATCATTCTGGTTAAAATTCACTTTCTTAATTGATTTGTGTTTGTGTGTATGTAGGGTCAGTAATTTGGCAGAATTCAAAATGAATAAGGTGCCTTCCCAGATCTTTTCTTCAGTGGAAAGAAACACAAGAGAAATGGATAACAAGAATACGAATGCATCTGAAAATTTTGAGAGATCAGATTTTCACACAGAGCATGAGCGCTCTAATATGCTTAATACTGGAGTGAGTATCTTTACTAAGGCTATACTTGTGGTACATATTTGCATGGAATGAAAGAGGTATATTTTATTTTGCTATTTGAACTCAGAGGAGAGTTTAGGAGTTCTTAGTCACAAGCTTAGCTATGCAAGGAATAGTTTGTAAAGTACTCGGTTGTTGGAAAACTCATGACATATTTTTGCATAGAAAAACAGAAAAATATGTTATTACTTTTCTGACAACCCAATAATTCAATTAAATTTCCAATTCAAATATGAAATATTGTAGGTAAAAATAAAATTTTATTCCTGCCATTTATTATCTCCATTTTTAAAGTTGTTAGTTCATTGAGAGTTGAGAAAGGGCCCCAGCAGAAGTTACGTTATAACCATAAAAGGCTTAAATTTAGGCATTTTAATGCCTTGTTGCTGCCTAAAGGACCAGTTGGCATGGGAAATCCTCCATTGCCATGGGAAATCCCACTGGACTGTCTAACATTTCTTGTTGTTCATCTCATTATTTCTTCCCTATGATTTTTTCTGTTTTCTTATAAGGGATTCTAAGGTAGGGAATAATATATTTTCTAAGTTGCTTATAAGCATGCTTTCACTGAAGGGCTTATGAGCCACTTGTGAAGCAGCATGGAAATAAGAGTGTGAAATTTTGAATCAGATAGAACTGAAATTTCTGCTGCACCTTTTACTAGCTATTTCACCTTGGCCACATAATTTGACATATTTGTGCTTCCATTTCATTCTCTGTGAGACTGAGTTAGCACTAACATAAACTGTGCTGTGATTGATGTGAGTCAGGTACTCAGGTAATGCAACTTCCTCCTCTCTCCACTTGCACAATTCTACTGCTATCTCAGTCTATTTTACCTCCCTTTAAAAAGATGCAAATGAATGAAGATTTGGCACACCAATCTAGAAAAATTGTTGATTACTGCATTAGCATTTTTTTCTTCTAGTGATATAGCTAATTACTCATCTTTTAAAAGTTACTTTTGTCTGCCACAAAGACAATGTGAGAAAAAAAAAATTCTCCTATTTGTAGTCAGTGAAAATATCAATGCTGACTGTTGCATCCAGAACATTTTGGTTAATTAATTAGGGCTAGTTTCTCACTATGAATTATGGGGTATCTGAATATTAGGGGAAATAGAGTAACCATATTATATATTCAAGTAATCTGCTCAATGTGTTTTTCTTCTATTTTCAGATGCTTTTATAGGTGAATCCTCTACATTTAAAACAATGGGTCCTGGGACCAGCAGTTGGCATAGTGGCTATGTCGCTGGACTCCCATGTAATCGACCGCGGTTCGAGTCCTGGACCCGGTGGCTTAAACTCACACTGGGTGTGTGTGCATGCGTGCCCAAGACCCCAAGAGGAAAATGGAGGAGAAGGGATTGTGGTGTGGCCATGCCCCCTGGGGGGTGATTGCTTGCTTTCTGTCTCTCTGTCTCTCTCTGCCTTTCTGGCAAGTGCACACCCCTATAGCAAAAATCTCTCAAAAAATAAAAATTAAAATAAAACAGTGGGTCCTATGGTTAATCTGAAAAGTATGTATTATCTACTAATAGGCCAAAAAGTATGAAAAAATAGTACTTTATGTACATTTTAAAAATTAACAATTTGGGACCAGCAGTTAGTGTAATGGCTATATCGCTGGACTCCCACATAGTCGACAGCGGTTCGAGTCCCGGACCCGATGGCTTAAATCACACTGGGTGCGTGTGCATGCGTGCCCAAGATCCCGAGAGGAGAATGGAGGAGAAGGGATTGCAGCGTGGCCATCCACCCTGGGGGGTGATTTCTCGCTTTCTGTCTCTCTGTCTCTCTCTGTCTGTCTGGCGAGTGCATGCGCCCTATAGCAAAAACCTCTCCTCCCCCCCCCCAAAAAAAAAGAAAGAAAAAGAAAAAAAAATTAACAATTTGACCCATTGCTTCAAATTTAGAGGTTGAAGAAAAAATATATTGAGCATACTATTGAAGTTTAAAAATAAATTTATTCAGGGCCAGCAGGTAGCATAGTGGTTAAGGCTTCCACAGCCAGCCTTGGGAGTTGCAGCCGTGGGAGTTGCAGTCTGGCGGCTTGAAGGTCATGCTGGACATTGTGTGTGTGTGCCCAAAATCCCTGAAGGAGAGTAGAAGAAAAGGGATTGTAGTATGGTCATGCCTGCTTGGGGATGGTTTCTCACTTTCCCCTCTCACTGTCATTCTCTGTCTCTGTCTCTCCTTCTCTCTCTCTCTCTCTCGGGCCAGCACATGGGTCTTGTGGCAAAAACCTTAAAATATAAATAAATGAGAAATGAGTAAGTAAATAAGTAAATCCTTCATTTACTGACTTTCCACAAACCTGTAGATCACACTGGTTAAATCCTGGCAATGGAAACTTAATACATATTCACATTCTATGGAAATGTTTTCTATACGAAATGGAGATAGGTCTCAAATATAGCAAGGTAATGCCAAGAATGATGGATGTGATACTGTTCTGCACAGAGATGCTGTAAATATATTGATAAAATTCATTCTCTTCAGATTTTTATTATAATTGACTTAAATACCAAGCTTTAATCCTTTCAATCAACACATCACATAATTAATAAATTTTGCTTGTTATCTTGTCTACTAACTATGCCTATGTTGTGTTCAAGAATATGTTTATAAAGGTGTGCACATCTTTTATGATAAGATTCAAAACATTCATGTTAGTGAATTTGATCAAAGTCTCTGATGATTGTAACACCACCTTTCTCTTCTCTTGTTAGTGTACCTTTTATGGCCAGCAATTCTGTGCCATGCTCTTCAAGAGGGCAATATACTCTTGGCGCAACTGGAAGATGTTGTTGATAGAGACATTGGCACTTCTGGGTATCGTTTATCTTATGATGAAAGGTGTGAACTTTTCAAGACCTACTGATGAGCCTGCCAGGCAAATGGATTTGAGACAATATGGTCAAACCATTGTGCCTTTTTCCTTTTCTGGAAGTTCTGTTTTGACCATGAATTTAGCAAAAAACCTTGAGATCATGCTAAATGCTAAGAACCAAAAACTTCAAGAAGTGAAAGGTAAGGCTCCTGCTAGTAGGTGAAAAGTTGTTGTGTCTCTTTCAAAGATAGGTCTTTATGTAGCCACTTGCTTCTTTATTTTCTTGGGAGTAACCAACCTCATAGAAGCAGCCAAGTCACAGGGAAGAATACTTCTTTAAGACTACTGGCCACAAAAATTAATTGCTAATGGAGAAGGTTTAGTGTGGGTCATTTAGCAGTCATTTACTGCACCTTTCAGGAATAAGTAAAAGCACAGGAATAGTTTGATTTGTAAAATTTAGCACAGAATTTTTATATGAACCCAGGCTCACAATGTGCTGTCATTATCCTAAATCCTTAAAGGCTGCCCATAAATATTCTAGCTTGGCATATCTTTAGAGCATGTTAGACTGAAGGCTTTATGGGCAGGCTACTTATATACTGTTAATTTTGAAGGCAGTAAAAATAATAATTTATTACATGTATTAAACACATTAAGCAAAAACTTTTAAAAATACTTTACTTGAATTACCTCATTTAATTTATCTATGAACCATATTTGCTAAAACTAGGGACACTGAGGTTTGGAAATGTTAAGTATTTTGCCCCAAATCATGGTATTCAGAATTCATTAGAGCAGGGACTAGATTTTAAGGCTGCCTGACTAGAGTCTGCAATATTAAACACTAAGTCACCTCTGTAAGAAGCAATCTGTTTTCTTTCAAGATAATTTTCTTCTAGGTGCTTTATTTATATTTCCTTCAGTGACTGCCTAGTTGGCAGCATTACTTTGAGTAGTCCTGTAGCTTATACAGTTTGGAAAGGTGTTTTTCTTCTTCAGGTTTCATTGCGAGAAATAAAATTGAACTTAAAAATGTTATATTATGTGTACCAAAATTCTGACTGATCACAGTCATACCATCACAAATTGAGTAACATACAAGTGCTCAGTAAATTGCACATCCCTTTCCCTCCATGGCAGGAGAAATAGATCACATAGTTGTTTGGAAGAGAAGAGGGAAGGAAAGTGAGAAAAAATAAATATTTCTGACTCATAATTTGGTTCCTTTCCTACTATCTTATATTGCTTACATTAAACAATAAAAAAGCCTGTGCTTCACAGATACATCAATAGTAAGATTACACAATTAAGTCACCCTCTGTTCATTTTTTTTTGAGTTTTCTGAAATTGTCTTTTTTTTTTTTTTTTTTTTTTTTTAGAGAAAGATTTTTTTTCTATGTTGTGGCTTTATTTGCGTGAAAAAAAATTTCTGAAATTTTTTTTTTTTTTTTTTTTTCTTTAGAGAAAGAGATTTTTGCTATTGAGTGTGTGCACTTGCCAGAGAGACAAAGAAAGACAGAAAACATGAAATCACCCCCTGGGGGAGATGGCCACGCCACAATCCCTTCTTCTCCATTCTCCTCTCAGGATCTTGGGCACACATGCCCATGCACCTGGCATGAGTTTTTTAAGCCGCCAGGTCTAGTACTTGAATCATGGACTTGAACATAGGACCATTATGCCATCTACTGGTTCCTTGAAATTGTTTTAACTAACAATTATTCAGGCTATTTTTCTAGAAAGTGATAAAGTAGGAAATTCCAGGTTTTTTGTTTTCTCATAAAAATATCATATACCCAACAACAGACTAACTAAAATAATTTTGTAGAAGCTCTAGAGGCCAAAGGTCTGCAACAATCAAATGGATGTCCATCAATAAAAAGCCACACTCAAAATGGTACAAAATTTTGTAATGGTTTCATTTGCCCTTTCCCCTCCCCTCTCCCAAGTTTAGCACAGTGCTATTACAAGGCAGCTGCCTGATACCTGGTTCCCTTATTGCAACAGAAAGAAAGAGTGTAAATTTTTGGTAGTATGTGAATTTTTGCCTTTATCCCATTAATGAAAGTAATTTAATTGATTGAACTTTGAATGTAAAATCATACTTGTAATTCTAAAGTAAACCTCAATTAGCCAGAATGTTCTCCTTTTTTAGATATTATTGGGCACCTTTTTAAATTATTCAACATTTTTCTATGTCCAGGAGAGATACTGGCCTATAATTTCTCCTCCTTGTAATGCCTTTATCAGATTATTTCTTCCTTTAGTCTTGGGAAGAATACAAAGGTGAAGCCTTCTTGATTTAGAGATTTGTTTGTGGGAGATGTTTTAATTATGAAACAATTGCTTTAATATTAGCTTTATGCTTAACTTTCTGATGTACTTAGCATCTTGACTGGTTCTGCTTCCATTTTTATTACTATGGAAAAGAAAAGTAGTGTAAATTGTTAGACTTAATTCTGCAACTTGCTTTTTTCTCTTAGATCTTCACCTTTCAAAATCTAGTTACCTTGGTCATTTTCTTGTTTCAGATTTATTGTTTTGATTTATTTCATGTGTTTTATTAAGCCTTTTAAGTTTTTCTTAGCAAGGGTTTGTCTTTCTGTAAGCTCATCTGTCAAAGTGGAAAGTTCTTACAAATCACTTTTTTTTAAGAATTATTTTATTGAACTCTATTTATTTATTCATATATTCATTCATTTATTTTTTTAATTTGATCAGAGAGGGACAGAGAGAGAGAGAGACAGAGAGAAGGAAAGTGAGAAAGTAAGCTGCCAGGTCTGAGACTTGAATCATGGCCAGCCATGTGAGAGTCCAGTGCCCCCAACCACCACATCACCTGCTGGCCCCACAAATCACTTTTAAGACTGAAAGTTTTGGGGCCAGTCCTTTGGCCTTCTGGTTGAAGGAGTCGGATCCCTACACAGACAATCATGGTTTACATCTCAGCCCCAGCGACTTCAATAACATGCCAGGCACATAGGCATGCATGCCCCAAATCCTGACAGAATGGAGAAATGGAAGAGAAGGACTCACACCCCTTGGGGATTCTTTCTCCTTCCCTTTCTCTCTCTCTCTCTCTCGGTTTTTCTCTGGTGGGCACATGTGCTCTTTGGCATATAAGCAACAACAAAAAGACTGAAATTTTTAAGAAGGGAGAATAGATTTGAGGGAAATGATACCCAGTGAATTATTTCTTCTAGGTAAAACTGAGCTAAAACATGTGAGCTTTGTGTGGATTCATGATAGAATTACTGAGGTCAGGCTGTATCATAGCCACTGTGAGATACTGGAAAGAGAAAATTTATCATGCTTGTAAAATTGTTTAGTTTTACCTTTCCAAGATACACAGCAAGAAATCTGTATTGTAAGCTGAGCTCATGATCATCATTGTTTCCTCATGTTAGGTGACCTGCAGGAATACTTAGTGAAAAATAAAGAATGCATTTACTCATGCATCATTGCACTTTCTATTGAGGTCACTACAGACAAAAAGACATTTACCTTTTGGTTCAACAATGAGGCATACCACTCATCATCGTTATCCCTGGCAGTGCTGGACAATATTATTTTTATGTCACTTTCTGGCACTGATGCTTCTATTACAGTCTCCAACAAACCTCAGCCCAAACCTACTGTTCCAAGTAAAAATGCTAAAAGGTATGTATGGTTTTCTTTCTTTACTGGAATTGAGCTGTATGTTTTATTGTTTATTCATTTTGGGGGGAGGTTATAAAAGCCTTTTAATAAAGCCATTTTTAAAACAAAACCAAAAAATTTACAAAAGAAAAAAAGATACAGAAAAAAAATGACTTGCTTCATATGTCCCCAAAAGATAAAAAATAAAGGGGACAATGCCAACATGCTCAACAATAAAGAGTTATTTTTCTTATTTTTATTAATACAAATATGAGAAAAGGATATGCATACTTAAAACAGAACTCAAAAGCAGATACAAAGCGAGCTTTATGTTTTAAATATATCTCTTTATCTGAACATGTTCTTAATAAAAAGTTGTTGTTAGTGATTGGTATTTTCTGTTTTGTTGTTTTACCAATGTGTTCCCTTTCTTATTTTGAAGTCAGACATCTGGAATCCAGGTAGCCATAAATTTACTTTTTGGTATGAGTATTTTTACCAGTGGCTTCTGCCTCCTGACCGTCAATGAGAGAACTTCTAAAGCAAAGCACCTACAGTTTGTGAGTGGGGTTTATGCCATTAATTTCTGGCTTCCTGCTCTGTTGTGGGATTTCTTCATCTTCTTCATGGCCTGCTGCTTACTACTGGTGAGTGTTAGACAAAGTGTCTTGAGAACTCAGTCTCTTACATACTGCCCCAAAATTCTGCCTGGCTAAATATTAACCTAAACCTAAATCTCTCAAGAAAGATTAAAATAACTTTGGCTCATTGAGCCAGAGAATACATTGTAGAATATGCTTCATTGTGCAAATTTTCTCCCTTAACATTTCTTGTTTTAAATAAAATGTCTTGTCTGGTAAAATAGAAATGTATCTCTTGAGCTATCTTCTAACATGCTGCTCACCATTATGTCATGGCCCCAAAGCTGTTATAAATATAGAAGGATATAACCTTTCACAATAGTTGACCATACTAAACAAAATGAATATCTTACAATGTTTTTTGTTCTCCTAATGTTTCCCCCCTTTTTTTCATCTGCTCTGATTTCTAATCATGCGAAGTTTCCCCTAAGAGAACTATACGTTTTGTTCCATGGATTGTTCAAATGTGTGTGTGTGTGTGTTGTGTGTGTGTGTGTGTAAACTTTTCTGGAATGAAAACAATATCTTACTGAACAGTTACTGAGCAGATGTTGAATAAATATTGAGGATAAGCAAAATCAGAACTTTTTAACCCATTTATGCTTGTTATTTTCCCCTCCTTTTCTAAAACTGGTGTCTTCTCCATAGCCACACCACTATTCCACGTAAAGTACAAATGAGACACTGCTGTAAGAGTTAAAAAGAACCCAATTCTTTCCCTGAAGTGAGATGTGGGATCTGGTGGCCAGTTGCACTGGCTCCTGTGGCCATTGGTAAACATGATCCCTGACTATGGGATGATAGGTTTGGGTAATTGGAACTTTCAGTTCTGAGTGAAAGTTAGGATCCTACAAGTTAGAACAGATAGATGGAATTAGAGGCTAGAGCAGTGGTAGAGCAACTCATGTATACAGAGTGTGCCAGGGTAGAGAGCAATATGCTGTTCTTCCTCTGCTGCAATGTCAGTATTGTAGATGAGGAGCTCAAAGCTATTTTCTTCTCACAGTTTACCAGGCATAATCTTAGCAGGCCAAGACTGACCACTAACATATGGGGGTCACTAAGAACTGTCATCATAGGAACTACCTGGAGTAGCTAATGTAGGCATTGCCTCTGGCTCCATGATCTTCTTCCATTCTCTCTAAACATCTCTTTTTTCTTTTCTTTCATTGTATAGGATTGGGATTACTTGGTTAACAAAACAAAACGAAAAAAACAAAACCAATTATTTATCTGCTTTAGCTGAATTCTATAGGTTTGAATATGTCATTTACTCATTATCATTTTCCAAAAATAGCTTTGAACTATGGGGTTTCCTAGAAATGTACAATTTGCTTTCTAAACTGTTTGGAAAGGTAAATGCTAAATGCCATTTTTCTCAGACAACATAATGTGAATGGTTTCAATTATTTGAAATATATTGAGACATGTTTCAAATACAGCCTGTGGTTAGTTTTGGCAAATAACCTGTGTGCATTTAGTAATAATATGCATCCTGTTATATTAGGGGAATTGTTTTATATAAGTCATTAATTCAGTATTGTTCATGCTAATGCTCAGACCTCTATATCTGGTATTTTGCCTAGTTGTTTATTTTTATTTTCTGTAAAATTGTAATATCCAGTGGTTTGTAATTTTGCTTTGTGTAATTTACTTTATTCAGTTTATGAATTCATGTGTGCATATGACGCAGGAAGTTGAGGTGCGAGGGACCAATACCCAATGCAAGAATAGCCGTTCTGATCCAGATAAAAACCCCTGGCCTCAGATCCTCTTTGGCAACTCATTTTTCCAGGACCTGCTCCCTGCCTGGGAACTCTGTCCTTCCTTCCTTCTCTTAATAAACTCTCCTTTTTACTACCCCTTCTCTATCTTCATATATGTATATGTCCATTTCCTATCACAGTGACTCTTCTTTGGGGCCCCTGCCCTATTTACCTACTCCCTGGATCTAATTCCTGTCTCACATACATTATTATAATTTTGTTTTCTTGATGAATTACCTTTTTATTGCAATGTCATTTCCCCTTTTATATCTCCAGGTGCTTCCAGCTTTAAACTATATTTTTCTGGTATGTACTAGTTTAACTACTCAAATGTCTTCTTCTTTTATTTACATTTTTTAATACAATCATATTATTTAGCTTACAAGGTGATCATTTCAATATGTGAACATTTCTCCTAGGTCCAGTTGATCAAAATATAACACTACCTCCCTGTCTCAACAATGCTGTCTTCGTATCCCTCCTCCAAATGTTTTTCCCCAGGCCCCACTCCTCCACACACACCACATCTGGCATTCACATCCATCTCTTGTGTTTGTACATCCTTTAGACCATCAGTTTCAGTTATAGAGTGTAGACACTCAGTATATATTAAGTGGGGACATACAGTGTCTCTCCTTCATATCCTGGCTTGCTTCACTCAGCAGTAAATCTTCCATATTCTTTCACTTTCTGTCAAAAGCCAGGGTTTTGTTGTTTTTCATGGCTGAATAGTATTCCATAGAGTACATGTGCCACAGCTTTTCAATCCATTCAGCCGTATGGGGGCATTTGGGTTGGTTCCATGTCTTAGCAATCGTGAAAAGTGCGGCAGTAAACATCCATGTCCAAGCACTTTTCCAATGAAGAATTCTGTTCTTGGGTAGATGTCAAGGAATGAGATTGCTGGATCATATGGCAGTTCTATTTGTAGATTTTTGAGGAATCTCCAAATTGTTCTCCACAGTGGTTGGACTCATAGTTTACAAAAATATTTTTCCATTCTGAGGGCTGTTGATTCACACTTATTACTGTGTCTTTTGCCATGCAGAAACTTCTTAGTCTGATATAATCCCACTTGTCTATTTTGGGGATTATGGACAGTGCTTTGGGGGTCTTATGTAAGAAGTCTTTCCTTACCCAAATGTCTCCCAGAGTTTCCCCAGTCTTTTCTAGAACCAATTTAATAGCTTGGGGTCTTAGATTTAAATCCTTGATCCACCTTGACTTGATTTTTGTCAAAGGTGATAGGTAGGGTTTCAGATTCAGCTTTCTACAGGTGGAAATCCAGTTTTTCCAGCACCATTTACTGAAGAGGTTTTCCCTTTTCCCACTGAATTGACTGGTACCACTTGTCAAAAATCAGTTGACTGAATGATTGGGAATTTATTCCTGTGGACTCAATTCTGTTCCATTGGTCCACATGTCTGTTCCTGTGCCAATACCATGCTGTTTTGATTACCACAGCTTTGTAGTATATTTTTGGGTCAGGGAGTGAGATGCCGCCCACTCCACTCTTCTTGTGTAGAATTGCTTTGGCAATGTGGGGGTCTTTTATTATTCCAGATGAATTTTATGATTATCTTTTCTAGATCTGTGAAGAATATGTCTGGTACTTTGATTGGCTTTGCATTAAATAGGTAGATTAATTTGGGTAGAATTGCCATTTTGGTTATATTAATTCTTCCAATCCAGGAACATGGGATGTCCTTCCACTTTTTTGTGTCATTTTCAATTTCTTTTTTTAGGTTCTCATAGTTTTCCTTGTGGGGGTCTTTAACTTCTTTGGTTAGATTTATCCCTAAGTATCTTATACTTTTGGTGGCTATGGTAAATGGAATAACTTTTTTAAGTTATATCTCCGTCTGTCTGTTGCTTGTATATAGAAATGCTATAGATTTCTGTATATTAATTTTTTGAGAGGTTTTTGCTATAGGGTGCGTGCGCTCGCCAGACAGACAGAGAGAGACATAGAGACAGAAAGCGAGAAAATCACCCACCAGGGAGGATGGTCATGCCGCAATCCCTTCTCCTCCATTCTCCTCTCGGGATCCTGGGCACATGTGCCTGGCATGAGTTCTAAGCCACTGGGTCCGGGATGCGAACCGCGGTCGACTACGTGGGAGTCCAGCAACATAGCCATTACACTAACTGCTGGTTCCCTGTATATTAATTTTGTATCCTGCAACTTTACTGTATTTGTGCATTACTTCCAGAAATTTTTTCATGGAAATAATTGGGATTGTGTTCTTTTTTAAAAAAATACTTTTTAATTAACATATAGTAGTTATACTTATTTATAGGGTACAGTGTGGTGTTTCAATACATGACCACAATGTTTAGTGATCACATTAGGGCAATAAACATACCCACAGTCTCAAGTATCTATCACTGCTGTTTGTTGTGAACATTCGAAATCCTCTTTCTACCTGTTTTGGGACATACTGAATTATCACTAAGCATAGTTACTCTACTGTGTTATAGCACTCTAGAATTCATTCCACTTGTCTACTTGCACTTTTATGTCTGTTAACAAAGTTCTACCTATTCTTGCCTTCTTCTCAGCTTTTGGTATCTACCATTTCACTCTCCATCTCTATGCCATCAGATCTTTTAGTTTTCACCAATGTGTGAGAACATACTATGTTTGTATTTCAGTGTCTGGCTTATTTCACTTAGTGTTGTTTCCTCCAGGTTGGTCCATGTTGTCACAAATGAGAGTGTCATCCTTTTTATGGCTGAAGTGTATTCCAGTACACACTGTATATAACACATTTTATTTATTCATTCTTCTGTTGTGGATTCTTAGATTGATACTGTATTTTATATATTATGAATAGTACTACAATAAACATGGGAGTTCTGATAGCTCTTTGATAGATTGATTTCTTTTCCTTTGTATATATACCCAGTATACTGGCATGAAGTCGTTCTATTTTTAACTTTTTTGAGAAACCTCCATACTGTTTTCCATAATGGCTATAATTTACATTCCCACCAACAGTGTTAAAGAGATCCCTTTTCTCTGCAACTTGCTAGCATTGTTGTTCACTGTTCTTTTAAGCTTTTTTTTTTTGTATTAACCATTTTATTAATGAGGTAATAAATCATTGTGATATAATTTGAATTTTCATAGTCATAGCATTTTTGTATGTACTTGGGCCATTTTATGTCTTCTTTCACAACTGTATTTTTCGGTTGGTTGCCCATTTTTAAGTTGTATTATTTGTTTGTTTGCTAGGA